CTTTGTAACTAAGAGAAAGGAAATTAATGCTAAATCAAAATAAATACCCCTGTTCTCTGTCATGTATAAAGTCCACAGACCCGTTAAACCATTAATGTTTTACAGCAGCATGCCTTCAGGGAGGATCAGAATAGAATTAGATAACGGTTTTTAAATTCCATTTCTACAACTGAGACGCCATAAAATGGAGCACCTCTTAATGAAAATAATGTCCATTTATAATCTTAATGGATAAAATTGTTAGAAGACACAAAAGGATGACCATGTAGTTACTCTTTAGGTTTCATATCTTTCACAGGGTTTCTCAGCCTGAGAGGCTACTGCTGTTTTCATGGAGTGATAGTTTTGATGCTGGCTGCTAGAGCAAGAGAGAAAAAAAATGACCCTCACTTTCAGGTTTCATGGTACCATCGTAATGATGTGCTTTTCTTGGGAAATCGAATGACAGAGAATAAACAAAATATTCCATTTATGACAGGCCATGGACACAGATCTTGAGGGCCCCAAGGATATGCAAGGTATATCAAGGGCTCTCTCATGGCCCAAAAAACTTGCACTCCTCCCCCGCCCCCCCATACACACGCACTTATTTTGGTCCAAAATGAAGACCTGTTATATTGCTATGGAACACAGTATTGCTCTTCACTAGCTAAGGCCTCAAAGCTCTGCCACTAAGTTCTCAGGTAAATGACTACCAGGAAAGCTACTCTGATAGAGAAGAAATACATTAATACCTTCTCCTCCTGGGCTTCAATGGAATGCCAAGTCAAAATACTGCAAACGAACTTGGGATTCTATGGTGGCACTTAACTAATTTTAGGAAAATGAAGTAAAAAGTGAGAAAACACTTTACACATCTCAGTGTGAACACCCCCCCCCCCCCCAAAAAAAAACAAACCCCAAAACCCTCTTTCTGCATGCAGAGTAAACCACATTAGATAGTGCAGGCACTTAACATCGTAACAGAGACAGAAACCCTGGATCTTAAAAGATTTCCATGATTCAAGATACAGAGGACAAAAAGTGAGGTACCATACATCTCTTGCACAACTCCCTGAACTTCTGCCAGGCTCCAAAGTGGAAAAAATTGTTAAGTTTTACTAGATGCCAGCAAAGTGGAGAGTTTGGTATGAACAAACATACATTTTAGCTCCTTTACAAGGGGAGGGGAAGCAGCTGCTACTTGGGAGAGCACCTCAGCTGCTATGATCTGTTATCTCTACATGATCCTGTATCCTACACATTAGCCAAATCACTAACTTTGACCTTGAATGGATTAAAGTTTGAGTCCTTTTGTTACACCTGTATCACTAGAGGATCATGCAGACATGAGTTGCTTCATAACAGGTTTTCCCACTAACCTTTGATATCCAATACAATTGCTACATGTCTTTTCTCTCCTGTAAGACTACTCAAAAGCTAGGTCTTGAATATTCTCTCTTGATCTTGAGGAGGAGATCCTGTCAGACTAAAACCATGTTGAAGAATCTCGAGAACAACAGCTTTCTCTGCCAACAGGGAACTACAGTTCATCCTGACCAAAGATACTAATTTGTTCCAGTTCTCTTGAAATAAAAACCTACAAGTTGATCATCCAGTATATGGAGTCCAGCAGTTTCCCCTCTCTCCCCACATCCTCAATTTAGAATAAAACTGAGGAAAATCCAAATTGTCTTGAATTCTTCTGTACTATTTTTTCTCCAGACACAGCCTTTAATAGGTTGTCATAAAACGTATAAAAATGAACTCCTTTCTTATGTGAGGGCATTGACTAAGAAATCTAGCACTTTTAAAAAATTCTGCACTGTAGCAAGACCCAAAGGGTATAAGAGCTGTATTGCAAGTGCTGCAATCCAACAGTAAAAGTGAAATATTTACAGTTAGGCTGACAAAGGTTGAAGTGGAGGATGCATTTTTAGAAGTACTGACAAAAAAAAAAAGTCTGCTTTGTTGACTACCTTCACAGTGGTCTTTAATGCTTCCAACTTGAGCTGTTTCAAGTATAAGTAGGATGCTTCATCATTTCTTCTTGTCCAGGAACCAACTTTGCCTCTTTCAGGATTAACCTAGTAACCCATGTTGGAAAGAACGTGGAAGAGCTAGCTGTACAGGATTTAGATGCTCTCATGTGGGGCTTGACAAAACCAACTTTGTTTTAACTGATGAATCCACCACTTATTCATCTGTTCCACAAACAGTTTTCCTACTCAGTATTTTGATTAGGTCAGACTCACTTTAAGTTGACAGATTTCTCAGGAGGTAGATTTAAAAGATAAACTTCCCTCTTACGCTGGAATGTAAAGAAGTCTTACTGGAAACGATTTTCTTGCTCTCTCTTTTTCTGTGGTTTCAAGTTACAAAACTGAAAGTTTTCCTTCACCCCAAAGAGGTACTCCTATATTTAGGAAGAACTAGATTTGGGCTTGTTTCTCAGATTTGATCCCTTCCAGAAAATCAGCATGAAAAGATAAGAAACACAGATAAAGGACTCCTACTGTTGAAAATATATTCCTGGGTTCCAGGGCACCTCTTTAAGGGAGTACCATGCTTTTTCCTGCTTTTCCTTCCTTTTGGGAGGAAGACAAGGAGCCCAATAACCATGCGGACTGGTCTCTGTGCACATTTTATTTTTCTTCTCCCTAATTTGCTATATGGATGATTTGCCATAAGATTCTGAAAGAAATAAATCTTGCAGAAGAACAAGAAAATCCTCCAAATGAAGCGGGATAGGGGGAAAAAGGGGCAGAATATCCTGGGGACTGAGTGTTGGGGAGAAAGCCCAGTGGGTATAAGGGGACTGTGAACACAGACCAATGTATCCCCCCTGATGCACAAGCTGTTTTATCCTGCTTGCCCTCCGATTTCTCCTCAGCTCCCTTCTGTAATGCTTTCCAAGAAGGAAGAGGAAACAGGGGTGAGCCGCCTAGTCCAAAGCAACAGAAGGGAAAAGTTAGTCAAAATTTCTTTTTTGGTAATATTTGTTTCTTCTGTACAGCAGGAAGTCGGTACACCTTCCTACAGTTACAGGGGCAAAACAAAGAATGATGGGTTCTTTAGTGTAGCTGGCCACATCTTCCCCAGTGACTATTAGAGGTTTTATCTATCTAGACTGAAGCAGGGTGAGGGTCCACTGGAACAGGTTTGTGGATCTTAGACGAAAGAAAAAATACTATTTCAATTTAAAGTTACAGTGCATCTTAAAAATCTTGAAATGATGCTGACGATCATTTTAAGCTACACAATGTTTATGGATCTCTTCATTCCAAATGAAAATACAACATCAGTTAAACATCCTTTGGAATAAGCTTTGCTTTTAAAGCATGAATATCACAGGGTCTGAACACAAGACACGTTTATCCATCCAGTCATTTGAGAGCTTTAAAATGATGTTTTTTCAAGAGTCTAATTTATTGTACTACATTGAGTTTGATCTTGTTGCACTGAAGTAACTGCACTATTCTAACTATAATGGGTTTAGAACTGGGCCTAAATTAAACTTTGCTAGTGGAGATAAAGCACCCTTAATGCACCCTAAAAGTATCTCACTAAATAAAAGATATTATAGAAAATGGTAGTAACGGTAAGTCAACCTACATACAGTCCATCCTTACCAACACAAAATTCTGCTGACCATTTTTATAGAAATGCACAGTAGATTTCAACATTGGGGAGTTGATCTCCTGATGAGATTTCCAGGTAAAAAAAATGTTTATGCAAATATTCATTTGCAAATATACCAGCTATCTTTTTACCTGTTATGTACACACACTAAGGTAAGCAAACACTTCCAATGAAGAATGTGAGAAAATAACTGTTATACAAACAAATTGTTGAAAAGCTCTTGAATAAAATGTTGCTTTGCTGAAAAGGTTTTTAAAATAAATAAAAAGAACGACGTGAATTTCAATTTTAAATTCCAGGCTGAATTGTCTACTTGTATTAGTTATGTAAAATTACAATAGGTAATTCAGACAGAATGACATGAATAACTGAAAGCAATTCATGTCAATCAAAAATTCTGGGGGTAAGTTGATTTAAAGAAGCATTCAACTGCATCACTAATTTGAAAGGTTTGCAGATTTTTTAATTTGTTATATATCTTGCAAGTGACAAGGCTCCATGTTATTTACCTCTCTTCTTCCACAACATTAATCTGACAGTGTTCTTTCATATCCTGGTGCCATAAATTAGTAATAAACTCACATCGACTAAAATTATTTCAATCCAAGACCTTCTTTTAAACATTCATGTCTAATTTACACATGCCACTGCTTAGTTACGTGTATACCAGTGTAATATCAGAACATACAGGCAACCATTTACACATCTAACCAAATTTGTATTAAACTTCAGCTTTAAAAATTCAACCTGAAACTATTCTTAAAAATATTTTTAAATGACACAATTGGCTAGCCCAGGACTTGGTTATAATCTGAACGTTCAGATTTAAAAAATCCAGAGCTAGACATGTGCCACGTACAGCTCATTTGAACCACTGCTAAAAGCCAAACATTTCATGCAAATATCAATATAATAAGCTTCATCTATGCTGGGACCAAAACAGGTGGCAAAGGCCTCATTTTAGGTGAATGAATTCTTCAACCAAGTTACAAAGTAGCACTAGTGGTATATTACACTTGGGTCAATGAATCCATGTTGTGATACTGACTCAGGCAGGTAAGAGACAGAGGATTACACCTCTCATTCAGGTATGTCCTGACATCTGATTCAAAACAAAGGCAATGGCATTTACCTCTATAAAAGCAAGCAGGTTTATGAGCACACAGAGATGAATTCCATGATAACATACACAGAAGTAAAGGTAAAATCGTCTTTAGGGTTACAGAGCACAGTGGGATAATTCCCTTTAAATCCATCTGGACAGAAATTGAGAAAAAAATATGCTGGGATGTAGGAAAATGGTAAGTTACTATGCAAGCCTTCACACATTTTGAAGCCAAGCAACAATCGAGTTGCAAGACTTTGATAATATCACCTACCTTCACTCCATGTCCAATATCATCTAGAATTGTGTAATCAATAGGTTTTCTAATGTAACGAACTGGTCGCTCCAGGTTGGCTGGTGCAATAATTTTGTGGGTCCTTGAGGTGTTTTTATTTGTAGTCAAAATGCCAATTTCTCTTCTAGCAACTTTCTCTTTGTGAATGTCCACTGTCTGCAAAACATAACACATTTACCAATAGAGGAGAATATTACGTGCAGATTTGACATAAAAAATATTCAATCCTAGGTGATCGTGTTCATGGTACTATGAAAAATAAGTTGTTTACCTTCTCTTTGTTCAATATACTGTTAGAACTGGATATCTTTAATCATTTATTTATAGTTAATAATGTCTTGCTTCTCTTTACAATTAAGCAAATTCCACACTTCAGGCTGTTAGTGGCATGGTTTCTCACTGCAGTAATGTATTCATCCTCAGTGGCAGTGGCAAAGGAGAATACTGTTCAGAAAAATCAGACACTATAAATGGCTCACTAAGCATAACAGGTTAGCTCTTTTAAAGTGCTCAACATTGACCTGCCTATTCCCAATGAAATCAATAGCTAATTTCCTGGGCTGTCCATGGGAACAGTGCTGATCTCATCTTAAAATCCTACTCTACACATCCAGCAATAACTGTAACAGGAGCACTATTAGTATGCAGCAAAGTAGTAATTAAGAAGTCACAACTGAAAAAAAAAAGATGCTTCATCACACCTCCAAAGATATCAAACAAATACAGGTGCAACATCCGGCTGGTACTTTGCATTTTCCTGCTCTCTACTTAATGACAGTCTCAATCATTTTTGTAATTCATCCCTGAAGAAAATGCAATTACAATATCAGAAAAGTTGGTCTCTTGAATGCATGAGTAAGTAACCTGTCTCTGAATGGCAGTTCTCAAACTTGCTTCTACTCTGAGCAACTTAAAATTCCCTTTCAAACATTTAACCAACTTGACTGTGCACCTTTCATCTTCTGCTGCAATACTTGTTTAAACAGAAGTACCATATTTACCCAAATCCAAGACAACTTCGAATTTAAGACTTAAATTTAAATTAAATTTAAATTATAATTTTCCATGTATAGAACCTAATTATTGGAAGGTTGTCTTAAATTCATCCCGCCCATCGCCACCCCCCCACCCCCCCCAGCCTCCTGCCACCGCTGAGACAGGGAAAGTAGCTATGGGGAGCAAAGAGCCACACCCCTACCCCTGTTCCCCCTCATACCTGTCTCTTCCCCCACCCCCCCTTATCTTCTGCAGCAGCTTTGGCTCCAGAGCAGTCCTGGCCTGCTTGGGGTCCCAGAGGTAAGCAGTGGGGTGGGGTGGGGGCAGGTTGTACAGTCTCCTCCATGCTCCCTGCAAATCACACACCACTGATCTCCCACACATGCCCATGTCTCCCCTCTCCTGCCCCACTACAAGCCCACATCCTCATTGCATGAGCCACTTCAGTCTGGGGCAGGTGGCAACTCAGTCCTGGCTTTGGCCTCAAGTCTGTGGCCAAAGCCTGAGCCAGAGCTGAGCCACTGCTTATGCCAGGTCAGTACCCAAATCTAAAAGAAGCTTTCGCACCCAACTCCCATAATGATAGGTAAGGAGGGCATTGTCTTGGATTTGAGTGAAGACGGTAACATTACTTACAGTATTGAGAACAGATTGAAGTAATTTTAAAGATGCTACTTAAGTTACCTTATTTTTCTTCTCACAAAGGCATAGTGTTCTGCTTAGCACCAAACCTCTCCCCACTTTGTCTGCAGCTCTAACTGTTAATCTCTCCAGGTCAAGAAGCACTATGACTTCGCTTTCCTTTTCTGCTATCACTCTAATTTTGGTATGATTAGACTCATATTGGTCAGATTTGAATTTATACCAAAAAACACTTAACATAAAGCAATATATGAAACAGTTATGCATGATAAAGAGGGGTAATGGATTCATTTTAAGTTGCTTCAGAACCTCTTAAAATTTTAAGCCCCTTGGCCTGGGTGATGACTAGGTAAAAGCCATGTTATTTTAAAAATTACATTCTTACTGTGAAGAAAAGCAGCTCTATGAGTCATAACCCCAGAGGTATGCTACCCCCAGGATATGAAGCTAATATTTTCAGCTAAACCTACATTAGTAATTTCACCTGAGGAAATTCACATTGTGAGTATGCTTTAGCTATAATAAACTATTCAAAAGGAACCTCATTAAGACTTCTCTAGTAGCTTTCTTGTTACTACTTTAAAAATGAAATGAATGTTTGTGAATGGTACCCAAGTTCTTTGTGCAGTCAGAAGGCAGGGAAATGCTACTTGCAAGAGAAGAGAAACAGCAAAAAGATCTGTACTGATTCCCACAGTGGCAAAATAAGTTTTTACAGTTTACATTCCTGTTTGTGCTGCTCTCACCAAAATTAACAGTAAACTAGATCCTGTTTCAACCCATATTAGAAAGCCATCCTCATTAGGTTTCAAACAAGTATATCCATACAAATGTTTTGAAGAATACAGGGTTGCACAGATGCCCTGACAGGAATAAGATGTATAGGGCTAGTAGTACTGCCAGTCAAGATGGCCTGATATTTCCCACTAAAACTTCTTTCAGTTGCTCATAATTTTGCTAAACTAAACGTTGAGATGAATTTTCAATGGCAGGGCCCTGCCACCAAAGGGTGAATATTTTTTAAAAACTCAAGCCAAAATGATCCAGTTATTTCTGAAAACACAGAAAGAAAAAAAAAAAAAAAAAATCGAGTAATTTTTTCTTTGAAAGCTCAAGTGCACCCATACTTTGGATCAAGGATTTGAAATATGAAAAAGGATTTGCCTGTGTGAGGTATGCACCATCTGCCACAGAAGTACAGGCGAATTTGGTCAACTTATAGAAAACTTGGAAAAAAGTTCAATTTCCAAATACACGGCAGAGATTTGGAGATTAACAGCTAAAATCATAAAATTCTGTCCTCACTGAGCATGCATAAACTCATGCGTAAATAAAGGATGCATCCACCACCCCACAGAGCAACTAAGCCTGCTCTATCCCCTTCACAGTGCTTACCTATGACTGGACTGCACATTCACCATACTCCAAATGCACATGCTCCAGGCCAGAGCCACACAAATCAAGGTGGGACATGACACCAGTATTGAGAGCAGGAAGGCTATCTTTCGAGACAGGGAAAAAAATGAGGAGGAGGGAATGATCAAACCAAAAGTCAGGGGAAAAAGGGACTGAAAATCAATAGGATTGGAGAAGACAGACATTAGGGTAAAAGAGAAAAAAGAAAAGGGTCTGCAGAGAGACTGGCAAAAGAAGCCAAAGGAAATGTGAACTAACTGGATAAAAAGCACATGGAGGGAAACTAGGACTGTGAGCCAACAGGATTGATAGATGTGGAGTGGGCAAGAAAGGCTTACAGTTCAAGAAGACGAATATCACAAGCCTGTGGAACTAGCTACATAAGAAGAAAACTGGAACAGGGAGCCATTTGTGGGATACAAAGGAGGAGGGAAAGATTAGATGGTACATGGGAAAAACAATTAAACTTCCAGGTAAATGCTCAGAAGAGTTTCTCTTCACTAGAACACACTCTCCTTTTGACCTGGGATGGTACCCAAGATCCACGCGTCTCACCACCACTCTGCTGTAAATATGTGGGAAACCCATTAGCAAAGCATTGCATCTCCTTTAAAGTTTAGCAACAAAAAGGATGAGACCCTACTACTAGTCAGTTATTCCAGTAATTCAAATGGCAGAGGTCTGTGTGGTGAGCGTAAGTGTTCCAGCCCTATATGTCACTATGATGCCCCATGAGAGAATTTCTATGGTTTTTTTTCCCAGTTTGATTTTTTTAATATTTCAGGAAATCACACACCAAAATCTACTTTCAAAAGCATGAAGGTTGCAAAGTCAAGCATTTCAATTGTTAGAAAATGCTAAAATTAAAGATTTCCTGTGCAACCTAAACTTAGCCCACTTGTGCCTATGTATTATGACAATCTAATTATATGGTCACATACTATTTGTTTCCACTGGGCCCTTACTTCACTCAGCGCATTGTGCTTCACAGAATGGATGATGCCCAGTTACTGAACTATGCAATATTTTATTTTTTCCTCGACTCAATGCATTAGTCCCATGCTTTATTTACTGAAACACTATTCAGAAGCTACTCTGAAGATGGAATTAATTTCTTCATAGAATTTCTTATCGTGCTCATTAGCAGAGTGCTTCAAATGTTAAGGAAGGTATTTTCACCCATGTTAGATAAATTAGTTTTACTCTCATACTGCAGAGAACTGAGACAGACATGTCAATGTGCACAATACCTACTAATTTTGATAGTCCGATCTGGGATAACTATAACCTGATCTTTCAAAATATGTCAGCATTATCTAGCACTTCAAAACAAGCCAACAATTTCTAGTTAGAACCCATATAATTAGAAATACAATTACTGAGCACCTATAGAAAGTTTGCTTTAAGTAACTTGCCCAACATCACATAGGTTACTGCAGCAAAGGCAAGGATAGAATCCAGGGCAGCCTTAAACTGTCTGAAACATGAAACTGACCTCTTCCCACAATCCCCTTGCTCACACTACACATCTTCCAAAGCATACAATAAATTAGGGAGGAGTCCTACAGTCAGCCTTCTTCAGTGTACAACCCCATTTCATTAATAAAGCAGCTACCTCCGGGGGGAGGGGAGAGGAAGAGAGCGAGCGAGAGAGCATGTGTGTTAAATTAAACAGTTTCAAACCACAGGGGAATAGGGAAAGTTAAAGCTGTACAGGCAACTCTAGTTCCACCATTTCCTAAATTTACAGCATTTGACTTTGCAGCCTTAATATTATTTTTAGATGTACTTTCTTCCCCTCTGATTGTGAGCGTGCACGTAGAGCAACCTTTATTAGCTATGTGACAAGATGAGAGGACAACTCAGTTCGACTTAGAATCTAAACTGGGTTTGAAGGCCTGGTAATTAGAAACATCATTTTTTAAACTTGTAAACCAAATATATTTTAGTCCTGGGGTCCCTCAATACCATTATGATGACTAAGTATGTAAATAAATATATAGTGTCTATGCAAAGTTTCCAAACAATTTTACTAGGACTTTCTTCTAGACTATAATTTTAATCCAAAATTCTTGGGAAAGGAAAACAACAGACCGGCAGAC